TCTGTGAGCATCCCATGGCACATAGTCTTGATTTATACAGTGGTCCTGATGGTGTATCTTTCACTTTGAAAACCCACTTACAGCCAATAGTTTTCACTCCATCTGGCTTCTTCACCAACTCCCATGTTTCATTCTTACTGTGTGCTTGCAACTCTTCCTCTATAGACTTAATCCACTTCTCTTTATCCAGTGATGACAGAGCCTCCCGGTAAGTCGTAGGCGTCTCATTTTCTTCGTGTTCTCCACCTTGACAGAGGTAAGTATTAGATTCATGTTTTCTGTTTCTTACTTTATTTCTAAGAGTTATATTACTAGGTCCACTAATATTTATTTCTTTTTCAGGTACATACTCGGGATCATCATCGGAGAAGAATGTTTCTTCATCATCATCATCATCGGATAATGTTACAGATGAGTTATTTAACTCTCTTGTGCTTTGATTTGTTAGCCCAACAGATTCATTAATATTCTTTGTTTCATCAGCACATATTTTAACATTATTTGTATTTTCTGTTAGTGGAACCATTGAATACTTTCTTTGTATGGAATTTTCCAGAAATACAACATCTCTACTGATAAGGATTTTCCTTGTTTTAGTATCTAATAGTCTGTAACCTTTAGTGACTTCTGAGTAGCCAATAAATATCATTTTACTTGCCTTAGGATCCAGTTTGTGACGTTTAGCATCTGGAACATGAACCATGACTTCGCATCCAAAGATTCTAAGGTGTTTCAAATTTGGCTTCTTCCCGGACCATAACTCCTCAGGNCTCAATTTCAAGGCCAACAAAGTTTTTAGGTTCACAGACTTTTATTTCAAAATTTTCTTTTAGATCATCAATTACTTTGTTCAACACACTTTTATCTTTAGAAATGATTAGGCCATCATCCACATACAGTATTAGGTACACTTTACTACCATTAAACTGACCAGTATAGATACACTTATCTGAGTGACTATTGGTGAAACCAAATTTCTTCAACACAGAATCAAATTTTTGATTCCAGCACCTGGGTGCTTGTTTTAACCCATATAATGACCTTTTAAGTTTGCAAACATGCCCTTCAGGTACATCTAAACCATCTGGTGGATTCATATATATATCTTCAGTTATGTTTCCATAGAGGAAAGCAGTTTTAACATCAAACTGTATCATTTGCAAGTTATCCTGACACACTTTAGAAAGCAAAACTCTTACAGAGTCATACCTGACAGTTGGTGAGAATGTCTCTGTGTAATCAACCTGGTGTTTCTGTGAGCATCCCATGGCACATAGTCTTGATTTATACAGTGGTCCTGATGGTGTATCTTTCACTTTGAAAACCCACTTACAGCCAATAGTTTTCACTCCATCTGGCTTCTTCACCAACTCCCATGTTTCATTCTTACTGTGTGCTTGCAACTCTTCCTCTATAGACTTAATCCACTTCTCTTTATCCAGTGATGACAGAGCCTCCCGGTAAGTCGTAGGCGTCTCATTTTCTTCGTGTTCTCCACCTTGACAGAGGTAAGTATTAGATTCATGTTTTCTGTTTCTTACTTTATTTCTAAGAGTTATATTACTAGGTCCACTAATATTTATTTCTTTTTCAGGTACATACTCGGGATCATCATCGGAGAAGAATGTTTCTTCTCATCATCATCATCGGATAATGTTACAGATGAGTTATTTAACTCTCTTGTGCTTTGATTTGTTAGCCCAACAGATTCATTAATATTCTTTGTTTCATCAGCACATATTTTAACATTATTTGTATTTTCTGTTAGTGGAACCATTGAATACTTTCTTTGTATGGAATTTTCCAGAAATACAACATCTCTACTGATAAGGATTTTCCTTGTTTTAGTATCTAATAGTCTGTAACCTTTAGTGACTTCTGAGTAGCCAATAAATATCATTTTACTTGCCTTAGGATCCAGTTTGTGACGTTTAGCATCTGGAACATGAACCATGACTTCGCATCCAAAGATTCTAAGGTGTTTCAAATTTGGCTTCTTCCCGGACCATAACTCCTCAGGTGTAGCGTATGAAATGGATCTTGTCGGACAGCGGTTCGTTATGTACGCAGCTGTCGCCACTGCTTCAGCCCAGTAGTGTTTCTGTAAATTAGCATTAAGCAACATACAGCGAGCTCTCTCCATCAATGTGCGATTCATACGCTCCGCTAACCCGTTTTGTTGTGGGGTATATGGATTAGAAGTTTCATGTACAATCCCACAATTTTGCATGTATTCAATAAACTCATTACTCAGATACTCTCTTCCATTATCAGTTCTTAATTTCTTTATTTTACATTCAAGTTGATTTTCCACTAATGCTTTAAATTCTTTAAATTTACTGAACACTTCAGACTTGTTTTTAAGTAAATAAATAAATACTTTCCTGGTATAGTCGTCCACAAATGTGAGGAAATATTGCGCTCCTCCAACTGATTTCACCTCCAGTGGTCCACAGATATCGGAATGTACAAGTTCTAGAACCTTCTTAGCACGAGAACCTTCCTTGGGAAACGGCAGCCGAGACTGTTTTCCTTCTTGACAAAATTCACATATCATATCCAGCTTATTCTCAGTAAGCTTGACACCTTCTGTACATTTGGAGAGTTTANTTTCCTGGTATAGTCGTCCACAAATGTGAGGAAATATTGCGCTCCTCCAACTGATTTCACCTCCAGTGGTCCACAGATATCGGAATATACAAGTTCTAGAACCTTCTTAGCACGAGAACCTTCCTTGGGAAACGGCAGCCGAGACTGTTTTCCTTCTTGACAAAATTCACATATCATATCCAGCTTATTCTCAGTAAGCTTGACACCTTCTGTACATTTGGAGAGTTTATTCAGATCAGTCATATTGAGATGAGCCATCCTTTGATGCCATAAGTAGCTGTCACTTTCCTTTGTATTACAAGCATATGCTTGTGCACTACTTATGTTCAGACGATACATGTTATTTACTAACTCACAAGCTACAACTTCTTCTTGAGATTTGTTGAATATTTTACAGCCTTCATTACTAAACAGTACTGAACATTCTTTCTTTATCAGCTGACTCACGGAGAGAAGATTGCTTGCTAACTCAGGCACATACAACACATTGGTGACTTGTATGGTTTGTGTTTGTCCTTTACTATTACATATAGGCAGATCTATTTTTCCACAGCTCTTCACTTTAAGCATTTTATCATTAGCAATACGGATGCTTGTAATTGGAGGTGTTGATTCATCATATAGCCAGTCCTGCCTCATAGTCATATGCATGGATGCTCCTGAATCAATAAACCAGCTATTACTGTCATATGCTGCAGCGGATGCCGAGAACACAGCGACACATCCAGTTTCTTTGCCTGCCTCTTTGCCTTGGTCCTTTTTCTTTGTTCTGCAATTTTTACTTATGTGACCATACCTGTTGCACTTGAAACAACGGGGACCTTTATTAAACTTCGGAGAATTATTATCAGAATCCTTTTGTTTATATTTACTTGGCTTACTTGCATACAATGCAACTGACTCGGAGCTCTTTATTTCCTGTAAGAGCTTAGTCTTCACAGAGTCTGCTGTAATCGGCACACCAGAACTTTCGAGGGCCATAATCATTGGCTTGTAGACTTCGGGTAATCCAGCAAGGAGCAAAGTACCCAGCCACTCATCATTGATATCAAATGATATGTTTCGAAGTTTATGTGCTGCACTCATTATTCTGTTAATGTAATCTTCAACATTTTGGCAATTTTCTAATGTTGTTGTAATCATATCTCTCAATAAGCCCACGCGTCTTGTCAACCCTTTGTCGTCGAAAGCCTTTTGTAAATTGGTCCACACTTCTTTAGCCGTTTTTGCCTCTTGTATATGTATGTAATTCACTGAGTCAACCAACAATATAATTTTTGCCTTTGCTTTCAGGTCGAGCTTTGAATCAACAGGTTTGCCTTCATTTTCAATACAGCACCAGAGGTCTTCGTGTTGTAAATACGTCATCACGGCAAATCTCCATGTATTGTAGTTATCTCGACCAACTAACTTTTCGATAAGAGTCATTGCATTTGAAGACATTTTGTATGAAAAATATTTTTTTCACACACACCACGCGGCTTTTTGGTTAGGTCGTGTCAGTTTTGATGACCGGCGACTTTGTTTTACGTTATTTCATTGATATAACTTTTCACTGATACTTATTACAAACAGATTACTGCCTGGGCCCATAACCTGTTGTAATTAAACGACTTTATAATTAATTACTTGAGTTTTATTAAACAGAACAATGCACATTACAGCAGTGATGGCGCAGACAAGAAAATCATAGTCAACGACCTGTCATCTGTCATTACGTAGCAAGAACGCGCCAATTTCAAATTACTACAACACAGACAGACAGACAGACCGACAGACAGACAGACAGACAAAAATTTTACTGATTGCATTTTTAGCATCAGTATCGTTCACTAATCACCCCCTGATAGTTATTTTGAAAATATATTTCATGTACAGAATTGACCTCTCTACAGATTTATTATAAGTATAGATAAACTAAAACCTTCTTGTTAGTTCAACCTGCCATTATCTATTAAATAAAAAAACTACATTTTGTAATATTGCACTAATGGGATAGAAAAATAAACAAGCAAAACCTTATTCGTTAGCAAACGTCATATTTATTTAAATGTTAGCAGCACTGTTTCTTGCACTGTTATGTTGGCAGTTTTGACTCTTACAGTACCTAGTGCAAGCAAAAACCGACACTAAGGTGACGAACCTTTTCATTCCGCGACTGTACATAATTTTTACCGAAGTTTTATAACTCTACATAGAGTCAAAGTTGCATAGATTTTTCTATAATCTATATTAACTTGACATTGTTATTATAATGCGCCGTTTGTTTCCTAAATTATCGTGACTTTAAGCTAACATTGTTTCCCCGTAATTATTATCCAAGTTCACGTTTCATGGTACGTTTCATTCATGGCATTGATCTTTTGTCTAATTTGATTATTCATTTACAGCTCCATGGAACCATGAGGAAGATGAACAGGGTTTACACAGAGGATACGTACCACGGTGAAGCGCCAGCCATCGACACCCCTGAAGGCAAAGCCCTGATTGACAAAGACCCAGAACTAAAAGAAAGCATTGGCTCATAGATAATAAAGATTATTAAATATTAAATTCATTAAATGTTAAATGTGTTCATAAAATATTGTATAAACAGTTTTGCAGTAAAATTGTGATACTCATAAATTAAAATATCAACATAATTATAACCAAAATGGGATAATTCAAAAAGTCATATTTTTTTAATAAAAACATGAATAAAATTGTTTCTGATATTCCGTACATACTCGTAGCTTTAAGCTTTTTAAATATAGGCAATTGTACCTACTACGTTGTTTTATTCGAACTTTTTGTAATTTCCATATTTTACTGAAGGGTAGCCTTCAATACAAAGGCTTCCCCAGAATATTAAAATGACGAGTAAGATTAATATTGTCATACAAAAAGGCTTACTCTTTGTGTTTCGCCGCGATCGATTCCTGGCATGAAATAAGAAAGAAATTCCCTTGTAAGTCATGTGTAAACTTTGTTTGGGAAGTCATCGTAATGAATATTAGGTAATATTATTTTATTTATTCGTGAGCGACCTGTGTTAATATTTTTTTAAATAATATAAAATAGTTTTTTTATGCATAACAAGACAGGTATTTGACCTCAATAACACCTGATGATAAGAAGTTCATCTAGGGTCTATTATAAGTAGAATGATGATGATGATGATCCGACCGATTTCGGCCATGGTGACCACTCCGACTCCTAGCTGTCTTGGCGGCGCTGGAGTGCCAGAAGATGGCTTACGTAGCCGATCTTCGCGGCAAACCCCCTCGCACATTGAGGGCATCTGAGCACGCCGCCAACATAAAGTACGGCCAACGAGAAGCGATACAAAAGGTCGATTCGACTTTCGATTTGACAATCCATTCTGTCTATTCCCATCTTGTGTATTTGTCGTACGTAATGTCTCGTTCTCCCGCCAAAATATGTCAAAATCAAACCCTTAGGCTGGGTTGCACCATCTTATTCTAACTCTGACAAACGTCAAAAATCTGTCAAATTCCATACAAAAAGCACCGGTTATCGTCATAGTTACCGTTAAAGATAGGTGGTGCAACCCACCCCTACTATTCCAAATGACAATGACATTGGGTTTGTTTACATTTGGTATCGCTTCTCGTTGGCCGTACTTTAGTTATAGTGACACATCATCTGTGTACCTACCATGAGTTTACGTTAGGTGTGCTCGCTAGCGGGAACTGGATTGGCCACACTCTCCGAAGGGACCCCGATCACATCCCTAAGCAGGCTCTGGATTGGAATCCCCAAGGAAAACGCAAACGTGGTCGACCCAGGCAAACTTGGCAGCGCACTGTAGCGGACGAGGTGAAGAAGATCGGCAAGAACTGGAGCGAGATCAAGCGAGAAGCTCGAGACCGAACGAGATGGAGGACTGTTGTGGACGCCCTCTGCCCCATCTAGGGGACATAGGACCATAAGTTAAGTAAGTCAAGCTCGCTAGCGAGTACGTCAAAAATCTCTATGAAGATTTTGTTTCTTGAAAGTAGCCGCTAGGGGCGCTGCACAATATGTCATACAATTAATGTCATTTTTTTACGCAGTCGCTAAATAGCACACCTAACGTAAACTCATGGTAAGCACACTGACCTCTCTTCCAGCAGAAAGTAGAATATCAATAAAACAAAAAAAGACACGGACGAAATCATACCAATTTACAAAATTATTACAAAAAGCCCACAAATTACAAACTTGTTACAACGTAATTCGCAAACTCAAAGGATCGCAAATATTTATGCCAATAAAAATAAGAAGTCAAAGCCCAACTGAAACAATGGCTCGAACATAATAACGTTAACGTTTTGAGGGCTTTTTATCAAGTTATTGGATGTTTAGCTTACGTATTTACGGATCGAATGATGTTACTATAGGAAACAAAACATTACATATATTGATTATAATATTATGTACAGACGACGGTTCATTAAGCTAAACACTGCATCTTAATTATATTGTAGTTCTAAAGCTACAGCCAAACCAACGCGTGCAGATATCAATCACTGCGCGTACATAGATCGCCACGACCAATGAGAGGATGTGTTGATTGTCATCGCTACAAATTCATACACGACATCTTATCGCTATCGCCCACGCAGGCTGCACACGTTGGTTTGGCCGAATCTTATTAGATGACGTGATTGGCCTTGACCTTTAATTTATTTAATTAAACTTTAATCGTCTTTATGTAATAATCATAGAAAAATAAACAGAAATAGAAAACTTTCATGGAATTCTAGCTAAATACAGATTTATTATCTAGCAAACAGTTACAAAGATAATTTTCTACAAGGTATAGTATTTATAAGTTACTAAAGAAATTTACCGAATACAATCTATACGTATACTATCGTAACAATAGGAATAGTCGTATAAAAAGATTAGAATGCGCACTTCACAGGTATCTCCCAATATTCTTTGAGTGTTAGAGAGATTCAAAGTCTCAAAGAACTAAAAGTAAATGGTTATTTTTATATGATAACAATAAAATCTATATTCTATGATATTTGCTCAGCAAGATTATTTATGTTCTAGGTTGATGTGCTTTTCTAACACTAAAATAATCATTTTTAATTTTATGAATAATGCTTTCCATATTTTCTGACAGGTCTTGACAACCCTTTGCACCTTTAATATGTTTTAAAGGAAATTAATGTGAATATAATGTAAATAAATCGACAAATTACACTCGTAATACGCGTTACATTTGACGCTCTTCTTCAAATAATTCTACTCGTAAAGTCTGATAATTGCTATAAAAATGAAATACCTATATATTTTGAAAGATCAGACGTGTACCTCTTCGATACTGGAATAAGAAAAGAAACAAAAGAACTCACGCATTGAATCCAAATAGGCGAAAAATAACAACCGCTGGAGTATGAAATCAGATGTATTCGTATTTATATGTAAAACGAAGACACACTCTACGTAATTTTTATTTTTGATGTCAACTGTACGATGCTTGTCGAAAATACTGGATGTGAAAGCTTTATATGCCGTGTGATCCATCTCTTTGTCGTTCGTTTGCTTAAATAAAACATTTATATCCTTGATACCTTTTGAGATTTTCTTACAAATTGTGAGATGATATTTTTATGTAGATGAGAGCTTTGAACTTCAAAGGGTTGCTCGATTGAATCGTTCCAGTTTGATGGTATCGGGATGTACGTTCGTAAAGTACGGTATAATACAATAACTCTACAGTTCAAAGAAGATCCAGATCTATACCTACTAATATTTTAAGCTGAAGAGTTTGTGTGTTTGAAGGCGCTAATCACAGAAAGTACTGGTCTGTATTGAAAAAAATATTTTTGTGTCGGATAGCTCATTTATCGAGAAAGGCTATTAACATTTCCCTTCAGCCAAATAGGGGCGGAGCAGTAAAGAAAAATATTGCAAAAACAGGAAATATTATTCAAACTATTTTCACGCGTACGCAGTCGTGGTCACAGCAAAGTAGTTCATGATATACGGACAATTTCATCCGAACATCGTCTACTTAGTCACTGTCTGGCTCGCTAGACTATCGTCTTTCAGTCGTTTCTATTTTATTTTAGTGCCTAGTCAGAGGCTATAGAACTGTCAATCTACATGATGCAACGTTGCGTAGTCATACCGTACTATATCGCGTAACATTTTGTAGAACATTTACGTTACTAGTTCTATTCTTTCTTGGATATTTGTACGTATTTACTATGAATAAAACTTATTGCCGATGGAGCATTAAGTTTACCTTTTACCTAAACTTTTTCTCTGCAATTAAGTTATAAACATATCGTTGAAACATTGTCTAATCGGTCCCTTTGTGTATCGAAGGTTCAAAGTTCTAAAGCGGAACCTCAGATGGCTGAGACAATCGATTTTTATTGAATCGGCGAATTTCAAAGTATTCCGTGCTCTACTACCTATAGGACCCCTTTTATCTTACAACAACAAATCTATACAATGACAGCCCAAAACTCCGTTACAAGAGTGGCGTTGTCAGTAGCATTCTTTAAATCTTCCTACGTGCAGTTGTTTGGGATTGCAGGGCACGACATCATGTGCTTCATCGACTGAGGAACAAAACCCCACTTGCACTCCAAGAGCCATCCAAGAATCTTTCAGACATAGGGACAAAAGGGCAGGGAAGATCAGCTCTATAACGCCATAACCTGCATCTCTCTTTTGACATTTTAACCGCCTCTTGGTCTAGTGGTAGGACCACCTGCTTCAGGTGCAGAGGTTCCCGGTTCGATTCCCAGTGGGGGCAGATTTTTCTGTTCGGTTTAGTTGGTGGCAGGGCTTGTTCTAAGTCAGCCTGGCTAGCTACCACCATCTTATCTAAGTCCGTCGCCATAACAACAATGTTAACAGCATTATTGTGTTCCGGCAGTTAGAGGTAAGATAGCCAGTTCCTCTGTGGTTGAGGATTCCGGGTGAAGCTCGCTTCCACCTTCGGCCTGATCGTCACTTACCATCAGGTGAGGAGATACAGGCCAAGAGCTTCCTCGTTGTAAATAAAAATAAATAAATGAAGGAGAGTCACACTTCTTACATCTTTCTATTATCCTGTATTAAACAGAGCTTTTATATAACATAGTTTAATTTCAAATTCCGCCAAGATTTACGGCGTAACGTTTCAATATCGAGTGTGTTCGAGAATAATTCCCCAGAAGAAATTCCGCCTTTTCACCGGGACCATTTATCACTGCTTGAGACGGAAAAAATTGCGTCGGCCTCGTTCAGAGTCCTAGTTTGATTTATACATAGGCAGAAGCTGCTAATTAAACGTATATCTTCGTTGGTAGTTGGAGAGGGCCAGATAAAAAAATTAGAAAAGTAAAAGACTGTAAGTTACATTACTTTTTGGATCTTATCATTTACGACTTAGCGTGGCAAAAGATACCGATCTTTTGGGATGGATTATTGTACAAAAATTATTGGTGCTTTTTAAAGAGTACCTTTCGTTATATTTGATGTATTTTGGGATCTACTCACAATAATCGGATCCTAAAATGAATACCTATTTTTCACAGCACTTTCTTAAGATAGAACATTGTCAGGACGGCTATGCACTACTAGAAGTCTTTCCGTACTTATCCACAGCTAAAAAATTACTAGAATTGTTTATCTTTATGCTTTTCTATGAGAAAAAGCTCTATGACAAAATAAGACAACATTTTCACAAACGCAAATTGTATGCAATAAACAAGTACAATTTACCAGCCAGTAATAAACTGAGTAGATTGTAAAACTGACCGACATTTTCCGGGACTAATAAGATGATTGC